TATACGAGGAGAGCAGGCTGCAACGAGACGACACGAGGAGAGAGGACGACTGGCTTCTTATCAACTGACGCAAATACTCTCCCGGACGCGTTGTGCTCTTGAGAAGCAACAGCGATTATCACGGCGGATCTACACACACGGGGGGGGGGAGGGAGAGGATTTGCTCTCGTTGCGCCTGAGAAGTCTGTTTCTCTTTCGGAGACGGCGTATCAAACCGTTTCAGGGATTCCAGCGTGCTCGTCGGGACCACGAGGCGCGTGACCGACACACCTCGGCACCGAGGATTCAACGAATGGGACGTCAATGACCTCGCGGCGAAGCGTTCGGTCGTGAGGTGTTCGACGTTTCGATTTTGACAGCCTGTCGACAAAGAGGAACGGGGCAGACAGCCTGGAGAAGTCGATGCGTCGCGGGAATGCCTCGGGCTTCGCCATGACGGAGATGTTGGGACTGGACGATAGATTCGTAGGATTCTTGGAAATTTAATTAATATAACCGCTCGAGATCGAGACAGTTTGAACGTATATGCGTGCCATGGTATTTCCATGGTCAGTCATTCTTAAAAAAAGAAAAAAAGGTCGTTCAACGGTGCTGTCTATAGAAATAGTGCTTTCAACCTGGACTCCATTATTATAGGGTCGAAAGACCCTCTTTCTTCTCAGATTTAGTACCTGCTGGAGAATATTACAGACGCGTTCACTATAAATACATCTTCCTCTCCCCCTCCCCCTCCCTGTTTTTTCATTCCTTTCCTGTTCCCTCATTTTTTTTTATAATTCCAGAAATGCCTCTGAAATAGGAATTTTAGGAAAACTCGTTAAAAGGATTCTATGAAATTCGAAGCGAAAATTTCTCGAAATTCCACGTCGCTTTTATCTACCTGCCTCCATCGCTCATTGTCAGTGAGATATTAATAGCGTAAATTTTTCAAGAAGTCAAAGTTCACGACGACGACGTCCTATTCTAATTATTCAGGAGTGATAACTTTTTATTCACAAAGGTGAACGGCTGATCATGTAAGAAACGCAGATATTTCAGATGAGGTTTCTCGATAAATGTTATTTTAATCTGCTGATTAAATCCGACGGTGTTCTCGGATAACCAGCATGACGGTTATAAAGAGGGAAGGAACGATCGATTGCATCCTTAAACAAGCGTCGATTATCGAAAAACCAACTTGCACGATTAGAGTGTGATATTCCGAAATTTATCGCTGATCAAGCCACTCCGACTACGTGTCTCGCTTTTATTAAAAACATTTCTCAAACCGATTCGAATGGATTTTCCCGCGAGTTTTGAAGAACAACGGCTGAAGCGTGAAAATATAGGATGAGCAATATCAGATCGGCGGCAAAGTCCGTTTCTTCGTATCAAAAACAGCTTCTATTCAGACACGACCGCAATGTCCTGCTTTTCGACTGCCACTTATCGAACGTGGCTTTTTATCTGACGGCAGGAGCCTGAAAAACCCCGGCGAATGTTCATTAAAAAACTTTACGAGCAAAAAACGAAACAGTCGAAACAGCCTTTGTGGAACACACTTCAACGCGCGTAGACGTGTTTCAACATACTGTGTGCGAATTGAAAAACGAATGATCCTCCTTTTGACAATAACGAAGATTTTTTTCAAAACCGTCCGGATTAAACTCTCTTTACACGCTGATGAATTCGTGGAACGTTGCACAGAGATCTGAATAAACATACAATTATGTTAGAACAAACTATTAATTGTTCAATTTTGAATGGGTACAGAAGGAGAGGTACAAAAAAAAAAAAAAAACAAAAAAAACATCTGAAACGAAATTATTCGAATGTTATGCAGAGATCTGAATAATCATGCAATTATCTAAGAACAAATTATTAACTGTTCATCTGAATGATTTTTTTGTTATCTCAGAGATACATCTGACTCGAACGAAACATCCAAAAGCAATCTATTCCCCAGTAACAAAACAGTCAGACTTCTCGAATCATCAAAAATAGCAAAAAGTAACTTTTCTGTTCCAGAAATCTCCGCGTGTCAAATTCATCGAAATTTCGCCGGTGAAAACCGACAATCAACCAACCACGTGGAAGTCCACGAAGCTATCTACTACCGTGTGTGTCGTCGAGGCACAGACGATACACGCTTGCGCGTGAATATCGTTCAGCGTGTCCGTAAGACGTCTCGTGTAAGTACTCGGGGTCCGATAAGGTGCAGCAACGCGGTAAGAGGCCTAGCTGCATCGAGACGAGAGCGAAAGAGAGAGAGAGTCAGAGAGAGAGAGAGAGAGAGAGAGAGAGAGAGAGAAAGGGACTCGTGCGGGGGTGTCGAGACGTAGAGGAGGCTCGGGTGGAGAGGAGGGCTGGGCAGGCTCCGATAAAGGGTCGTACACCCCGAGCGACACGCGTGGCCGCTGCTATCCCCGTGTATCTGATTTGACGAGTTCTCCCTCTTTCTCTCTTTCTCTCTATCGTCCTCTGTCCCCCCTCCATTTCCTCTCTCACTCTTCCCTCGACTACGAATCGAATGTTTACGAGTGACGTCGCCATGGCAATGCGTTTCGACGTAAATTCGCAAAATCTCGAATCGATCGAGAGAGCGAAAGATAAAATTGGCAAAACGCGAATACATCGGCAACGATCCGCCCGAAACATTGTGACACATCCCGGGTGGCCAGTGATGATGAATTGGCTTTTGTTGAGAATTCGAAAAATAACATCGTCCCATGGTGAGAATAATACACGCGCAATTTGCGTTATTGAAACACAAGGACGCCCTTTAATCTGCCGATTTTTACGTTTATACATACTTCTCTCTTCGGCGGTGCGCGCATGCGAGCGTCCATCATTTTTTATAGGACGTGCACGTAACGTTCCGAGTATAAATCGGCGTATTACGGTATAAAGCCGTACGAGGCGAACACGCAGCGCACGTTGCCCGTTTTCATGAATATGAATCGCGGCGCCGAAAAGGGACACCCCGAAAAATAATACGTACATCGAATGATCGTGATGCACGTTCCGTTTCGTAATTGATGGGTCCCCTCCTCCAACATCGTCCACATTCGGTGGAACGGAATATGTTCGCGTGTTCGCGTTAATTTAACACGATTACGTCCTCGAAACAGAGAAATTTCTTTTTCATATCGACGTTTTCGCGTTGGCGACTCCAAACGCGACATGCTCGCACGTAAGAGTATTATCGTATAGTCCACACATTCTTGTTTACCGACTCCTTTTCTCTCTTTCGTTCCCTGGCTCGCAGATAATAAAAATCGAGAACGATCGCTCGTAACTATCTAAAATGCATTAGGAAGCTAGAACGGTTAGATCACGTGTGCCAGGAGGGAAAAACACGATAATTCTGTTCCGTTACTCGATACCGAAAATATACTATCTGGCGGAACATCGTTGAAAATCAACGGGAATTCAAATGTCGGATAATAAATACCGAGGGCCTTTATGAAAAACCAATGGCATAACCAGGCGTCACGACAATCAATATTTTCGGAATATTCATGCGAACAGCAGAAGAGATGATACATACATATATGTATAATCCCGAAATCAAATAGAGAGACTGGTTCGGGTAATATTAAATTTTCAAAAATTGCTTCTCTACAAAAAAAAAAAAAA